CCGTGATGCAATCAGGCGGGGGGGAGGGAAGGGGGGTGGATGGAGAAGACCAGAAAAACAAGGGTGGAGTTTAAGCTCATTGATGGAGGCTTGAATTGGAGGGAATATTGTGGAAGATTATTTTTAAGCTGCTGCAGACGGTTGGGGGGCGGATCCTCAGGTGGTTCGAGGACACGTTTAAAAATCGATCACTGATCTGATGAGTTTTTCTCTTTTATGATTTGAGTGAGTGGTAAATGGACTGATTCTTATATTGTGCTTTTCTACTTTCCCAGAGTACTCAAAGTGCTCTAAACCACATTCACATTCACTCTCACAAGCACTCTCTGTGCACTTATTGCTTTCTAACTACAGTCACACTCTGATGGATGCATCAAGAGCATCTTGGGGTTCGTGTCTCGGCCAAGGATACTTGACATGCAGACTGGAGGAGCCTGGGATCGAACCACCGACCTTCCAATCAGTATGTGACCTGCTCTACCTCCTGAGCTACAGCCATTTAGGTCTTTGCAGTCCATGACCACCCCATCGTCCAACCCCCCCACCCCCACAGAAGAATCTAAACGTTAGCTCAGAGTCGTTCACTTCACTTCCTGGTCGAGCTCTTTAAGCTGTCCCACTGCAGGCTGGCTGTTCACGAGCTGGTCCTGGAGCTAGTTCCAATCCTGACGGGAACTTGCGGCTTCTGGGTTTCACGTTTCCGTTGTTCCTCGACCTCCTCATTTTCTTAGTTTTCCTCCACACACACGTGACTATTTCCTGTCATTGTTTCTTCTCAAGTTTCATTCCAGCGGCGGTATTCCTGCTTCGTCTCCGCCTTTACACTCAAAATAAAACTGCCCAAAAACGCTGACTTTGACTAACATATTATAATAACTACAGAGTAAACTGTTACATTTAATGGAGTCTGCTCAAATGAAATTTGATTTGTATACATTAAGTTTATTCCGAGCACATTTTTCTTATTTTAATGAATAAATGTCTGATTTCAGCTGATTTTCACTCGGAATCATTGATTTGTGTTTATTGAGGGTGAGGAAGCATTTTTATGACCTTCACGACGGCGTCCTGGTCTCTGACCTTTACGTTATACTTCCTGGTTGCTTTGCCTGACGCTCTACGTTTGACTTCAAATACATTTAATTCAGAGCTTGATGCTGGTCTGCACTGAAGTCTCACAGATACAAACGCTGTGCTCCGTCGCCATGTCGGGGCGAAGCGTCGACCTGCTGATTCATGAAATGCTTTCTGTCTCTTGATTCCAGTTTGCCTCCAGGTGATCTCTGATGTGATTGGTTAGTGGTGTAAAAGGAAACGGTGGACGGCTACAGTTTAGACTCCTGGCTTTACGTTTTCTGTTGGGGGGGTTAAGATAATTCCAGTTTTTCCAGCAGCTGTTTGAATGAAGGCTGAGGGTGGATGGAACCACAGACATCTGATCTCTGGATGGTTTTTCTCAATGATCGTGCAGATCCCCTTTAAAAGGCATTAACAGCTGATCGGATCAGACCGTGATGGCTGATGGTTTGAGTGAGGCTGACGTCCGGTTTCCTCGGTGTCCATGTGAGGGAGACAAACTCTCACAGATCTCACAGCTCGCTCTCCTCAAACGCCTCAGTGCTGAACGCCGTCCAGCGCAGCATTTCCAAAGTGCTTTCTCTTTGGAAACGATGTCTTTGAACTGCAGCTCATTGAGCAGGAACATCATTGAAATGAAGCACATCTTTAATGTATGTCGGCTCACAGCCTCCAACAATCATCATTGAGTGCTTTTCTTCAGATTTCCAGGAAAGTCCGACTCAATCAATCAAGACGTTCTTGGAACACATTTTTTTCCTGGAATCTGCAGCTTAAGAAAAACTCGTGTTCATGAACTAATGACAGACAGATATTTTAAATCCAGGCCTGTGAAATAAACTGCATAGACATCCATACTGGTTTAGCAGTTATTAGCAGATCTTTTATGTTTTATGTGAATTAAAGTCTTGGAGAAGACAGAAATGTCCTTAATTCCTTCAGTTTCACCACAAGGACTGGGTTTGAGGTTAGGAGGGTCTTTGAGAAGTGAATCTGAAACAGGGCGCTGTGATGTGTTCATGTGTCCTTCAGGAGGGAGTTCGCTGAGCTGATGGAGAAGTACAGCTCCAACCACATCACGGCTTCAGGACGAATCTCTCCCACGCAGCTGTCCACAGGTAAAACCCACCATCACGTCAGACATGAACATTCGACCCAGAACAAACCGAACCCTCAGACAGCCCTCTGAAGACGACGATAGACACGACGATACTCCAACAGCTCAAATGCCTGGAAATTCACAGCATGTTACAAAATCGCTCTGTGGTCACTTTCCAAAACTAACAGTCCTTTTAAAAGAGTCCATTACAAGTTTAAATTTTCATTTCCATGTCTGCATGTCGCAGAGCTGCAGACAAAACATCCTCACTAAATATGTTCTGACCCAAAAATGTCCCCAAGTTCTAAAAAAAAGTAAAATAATAGTTTTACAAAGGTGTTGCGACTTTCCTTTCCAAAAACATCACCACTTCTCAAAAATGTCCACAATTCCAAAAATATCTTCACACTCTAAAAATCCTGTTACTTTCTGAAATAAAGTCCTCTCATGTCCGTCTGGTCCTCACAAAGTTTCAGTCCCGAGTCACTAAATTGATCCTGTGTTCCAGTTTTTCTCCATCCCGCCGCGTCCCAGCGTCCTCCGCCTCCCTCCGCCTCCCTCCGCCTCCCTCCACCTTTCCATTTCTTCTCTCTCCCACGTCTTCCTGCTCACCTCTCTTCATTCTTCTCGTTTAAAGGGAAGCTGACGGACACGGCCTCCTCCTCCTCCTCCTCCCGGTCAGAGAGCCCCCAACTCCTCAGTCCTAAAGAGGGGGTCACGGCCTACACCCACACCGCCCCTTACCCCGCTAACCCCGCCTACGCCGTGCACACGCCTGTGCACACGCCTGTGCACCCCTTCAGGTAAGAACAGAAATAACTCCCTCTCACGGTGATGCCTTCACTTCCCTGTAAACCAGATTCTGATTGGCTGTTTTATATTTATTATTAAAATACATTTTCAAATAGTCTCAGAGACATAAAAACGCACAGAGAGCTAAACCCGTCCTGCAGTGAGTCTTCATGAGGAATTTCTACTTTCCAGCTGATTTATTCAGAGTTTTTAATGAAACCAACACAGCTGTTAAGCTGTGAAGTCCTCTCTTTGCCACTTGTTGGTGTTTTAGTGCGTCTCCTTCTTCACACGCTGCCCCTGCGTCACATCTGTCATGTAGCGTGGCAGCAGGACGAGGACTCAGGCGAAAGCTAAACTTTAATCACTGGAGAAAAAGGTTGAATACAAACACAAAACTAGAAACTAGGAACAAGGAAACCTGGAACCACGAGGAGACACAGCACACAGAGAGGGAACATGAGGGTTAACGAGGAAACACAAGCAGGACAACGAGAGGACAAATGAGACCTAACGACACAAGGGGAAGCAAAACTAGATACACTGCACACAGGAAAGGGACTATCAAAATAAAACAGGAAGCACGACACTCATAAAGACAGAAAAGTGTAAAAGTGAAACAGCGACGTGCTCTCAGACCAGAGCAAAACTCAAACTAAGTAACAGGACAGCAGAGTCAAGTACTCGTGATGATGGAGCCTGGATCATGGACTAATGATGGTATACATCAGTTTAATGAGCCTGAGCATCACAGGCTGGTTCACTGTAGTTACAACATGTTAGTAGAGCGCAGTACTGACATGCATCAGCAAGCTGCTGTACTGCAGTACTTTAACTACGAGTACATTGAGTTGTTCCAGGCAGTTTGTTATTGGACGGCGGTTACATAATAAACTATGATTCAGTGCATGGAAACACCAGCAGCCACTAAAAATAGTGAAAAGCCTCTTCAGCAGTTTGAAGCTGGAGAGGGTTAGAGATTATGACAGCGTGCTTTTTAATCACGCTCTCTGTCCTCTCTCTCTCTGTCCTCAGTGACAGTGTCATTCAGTTGATATGTGTCGCCAAGGGAACAGGCCTGGGGCTCATCATCAAGGGCGGAGCCAACCGTCCCGAAGGACCAATGGTGTTCATTCAGGAAATCGCGCCTGGAGGAGACTGCCAGAAGGTCAGCATCTTTGTGGTCCGGTGGTTTGATTCACTCTGGATTCAGTGAGAAGCCCACTGGGCTGTGTCTACAGCAGACACTAAAAATGCATCTGATATGATCCACTGGAGATTCACTGGTTTGATAACAGATAAGGGGACATGTCAGTCCTCAACTTCATGCCAGCAAAAGGCCAGACTACAGCACTCGTTTTATGCTCATCCAATAATAATCATACCAACTTATATTGATAGTGTTTGTGTGAGCATGAACACTCACTGCTCCGGTCTGACTGCTTCAGGACGGCAGGCTGCAGGTTGGGGACCAGCTGGTGTCCATTAACAAAGAGTCGCTGATCGGAGTGACATACGAGGAGGCCAGGGGCATCCTGACACGTACCAAACTCAGGTACGGCACACCTGATACCGAACAGACATTATGCAAATGACAGGATAGCACAGCAAGGACATAAAGACACAGCGCCGCTGTTCGTGTGCTGCTGTTGTTTCAAAGATACAGCATTGTTTACTATTCAGAAACCATAAGATAGAAAGTATTAGTAAATAATAAAAACTGAATAGAAACATAAACTGAAGGTCGTCTCTGATCGCTTAACTCAGACTCATCTTGTGTTCTAGACCCGACCCGACCGTGGAGATTGCCTTCATCAGGCGGAGGTCGTCCTCCAGCTCCAGCAGCGGGCCCCACAGCCCCATCTCCCTGCAGGGGTCTGGTGGTGGGGGTGGACCCCAGATAAGGGGCCCGGTCCTGGGCACCGTGCCTCAGCAGCCGGCCGTGGTTACCAAGATCACCTCCAGCCGAAACCCCGCCAGCGAGACTCTGCCATCAGTCAACGTCACCCAGGTCAGAGCGTCGACTCGGAGAGCCTCATAAACGTTTGTACAAACACAGATTTGAGCTCTTTAAAGTTAGATTAGAGAGGAAGCAGCACGTCTCAGCACCGCTCTAACAAAAGAACCGCC